CTCCAGGAGTTTAAGCGGGCTCTTTCCTCCCGACGCCGCTTTGGCTCTGGACGCCTCGAGAATGCGAGCCTTCCGTATGGCCATCTGGTCCTTCCAGAACCTGTCGTCGAATTCGAGTGGAGGTGATCCATCCCTTCGCCACCCAATTCGCAATGGATATCTCTCCTTCTTCCATGGAAGCCTGATCGGGGATTCTCTCGGCGCTTTCCATCCTAGTCTAATCGGAGACACGGGTTTCCATTCCAGGAGTTTATGGGGACTCTTTCCTTTCACCGCTTTGGTTGCACTCGTGCGTGATCCATTCTCCCGCCACCCAATTCGCGATGGAGATCTCTCCTTCTTCCATGGAAGCCTGATCGGGGATGCTCTCGTCTCTTTCCATCCTAGTCGAATCGGAGACACGGGCTTCCATTCCAGGAGTTTGATGGGGCTCTTTTTCCGCGGAGCCCTCATCTTTGAGAGCAACACGCTGCATCGTTTCGTGTGTTGGTAGCAGAGAGATGCGGCTGAGAGCACCAACCTACGGCATCGAACCCCCTGCAACGTCATGCACTTGCACTGAAAGCAGCCCTGCTTGTCGTTGCTGACATTTGCACATTGTCTGTGAACATGGCAGAATTCACTCCTCGCTCCTGCCACTGCATTTTTGCAGCGCTGTCCACGTACGGTAGTACATTTGCAACGGCGCATGTCTAGACTAAGCCAATATATTTTCTACGATTAGGACGATGAGGATGACGATCACACACTCACTTTCATGATCGTGGACAGGATGATCAACCCCATATTCAACAACGCCACCCCGTGGGATAATCTATGGCGCCAATCATGTGACGACGTTGCGTCCCATTCGGCCCGTCCCTCTGCAAAAAAACTCAGAGGTACGAGAGATAAGACGGCGACGAGAACGCAAAGAAGAAAGAGGGGGGTGTTCGTTTGAAAGAATACGAATGCAAAGTAGGAAGCGACCAGAGCGGACAGGCTGTAGTACAAAACAAACAGTTTCCGTCGCCAATCTCCATACCTTGGGGTACCTTTCTTAGTGTAATCAAAGAGCTGATACTGGAAGAAGAAGTTTGCCGACGCTGCAGCTATGACCAGTAGTGTTTCGTTCATTCTCATACTTGCAGAAAAAATGCAAGCAAAAAGTAAGCTGATGAATGTTCAGCTGCACTTTATACTGCATGCAATTCTCATCCTGATTTTCCTCTATCATGCGCCAAAGTTTATAGACAGCCTGCAACCTCCTGAGGAAGAAGTCCAACGCCGCGGACTGCCCCCGCCTAGCCTGCGCTCTGGAGGGCCAGAATCCTTTGACAAGGCCACCGACGCCATCAAAAAGTTCGAGGCATGCGAGAACGATTTTAGCAGACGTGTGCGCGAAAAAACGTACGTAAACGCCCTCGAACAATCGAGCAGGGCCATGAAAAAACTCTGGCAGCTCCAGAGGTGGATGCCAAACGATGTGCTCGCAGAAGCGAGGCTGAGATACTTCATGGACGGTTTGCAAAACGATATGAGTTTGAGTCTCGATGCCATGCGGCGACAGTTGCCAGAGGGCAAGGGGCTTCATCTGTATCCCAGCATCCTGAGCTCGGAGATACCATTTCCAGCGAACAGTGCGGCCTAGACGAAAGTGCTTCTCGCCCCCTGGATGAAGGGAGGGGCTAGGTTGTAGTCCGCGGTCACTTCTTCGTCTTCGTCCAAGTCGCGAGATGCATATAGCGCCCACTGACCCATCCTGGACCGGAGATGAGCAGAGGGAAGATAACTATGATTTACGTAAGCACCAAATTCAGGAGTGATAGACTTGCCGCTTATCGCAACGCCGATGAAAGATCCAGCGGGCAAGGGTTTCCTAGCAAATATTCCCTGACCCTGTATGGTGGAGGGACCGATGTAGTACCTACTCATTCCGTATGTTCAGAAAAATGTATGATGCTCGGATACCAAGAAGATGCAATGCGTTTGAAGCTTACGGACACATCATGTGTCTGCATAAGATAAAGGAATGGAAGCGGACACCATCAAATCTGGGTTCCTTTATTGCGCAAAATCCCCTAATTCAACCGTGATGAAACTGGGGATGACCAACTCAACCAATCCAGGGATGTACGTGCAAAGAAGATATGCGTTCGTTCTCGATATAGAGTGTTTGGTCGGCGTCGTCGATGCATTGATGGCTGAGAGGGTTGCGTTTCACCTACTCGACGCCTACCACATTCAACACGAGATTTTCAGAGCATGCGACTGGAGAATAGTTCAACGGGCATTCGAGAGAGCAGCCGTCGTGGTCAGCAGGGTGGATATCTGCGTCCCATATTGTGAACTGCACGGAATTGATCAAGTGAAGCCACCGAAGCAGAGGGTGCGACCAAGAGAGCACTTTGATGACTGAATAGACCCCATTACAATCGGGTCGCCCAGATCGAGCGGACCATTCTCCTATGTACAGTTCGTCCTCCCTCTCACTCAAACTGCCAGCTACGTATCTACACGCTAATCCTCGTCCTCGTCCTCGTCCCAGGCGGCAGCGGTGGCAAACTGCCTGCACGGCATGCCCGACTTGTAGTGATCTGACACCTCATCGTGTTTGATAACTTTGGAACACTGGTAGCAGAGGTCTGTGTTGCACCTGGTACAAGTAATATGATTACAGCCCCCGTTCTTCTCGATCGCTGCAAGGAGGGGGGAAAATCTGTCGTATGATCAACAACAACAATCACCTACAGTGGCAAAACGTATTATGTTTCTCGTCGCAGAACTAACACACACAAAAAAGCAGGTGGCAATTCCACCACAACTAAAGTCCTGGTGGCGATCCCCAAAGAGATTGGATAGAAGGCGCTCTTGCTCACAGAAGGACAGCCGTCTCGTTCGCACTTTTCCGTTCGGTAGCAGTTGGACAGATGCTTCAATATTGTAGCTCATCAACTCTGATTGCACCTAAGATTTTATGTGGTCCACCGCTTACCATAACCACACGGGCACCTGATGAACCTGACGCCGGCCGCCTTAGCACCCTCCTGGAAGGCCGCGTCGTGCTCCACCATCTCGCGCCGCTCCATCGTTTCCAGCAGCAGCTCACCGCAGTTGGGGCACTCGTCGTCCTCAGTGATGTCTCCGGTGACGACCGCACCGCACTCACAGGGTCGCCCTCCCACGGCTGCAGCCGTCTGACGCCACATGATACGGTCGATGTTCACGAGCAAGGCCTCATCCTTGCCACACAGATCCTTCAGGACGCTCCACTCCAACTGAGGCAGGAGGCTGCGGTCCTGGACTACGAGGTGGCACAGAGGGCAGACTGGAATCTGCCCCACCTCCTGCATGCCCTTGGCGAGACCATGCCCACATTCGACGCACAGAGCATGGCCGCACTGGTCGCTCATGTTGGTCAGAAGAGGCTCGCTCTCCAGACACAGGTCGCAGATCAAGACGCAGTCCTTGCAAAACTTGACATCCCCGTGAACCCCCATGGTTTTCTCTTCTGTCAGGGAGCTGCACCTGCTACACCTCGCCATGAACTCCACCGCATCCTCATACTCTGACTCTGAGTCCGAGATGACCACCGAATTCTTCCTCTTCCTGCCCCTGTTGCGCACGGGTGCGCTCTCCAAGCGGGCCGTGTGAGAGTCTTCATAGTTGCAGGTGTTATCCTCTGCAACACGGGGCATGTGGTGGTGGAAGTGCATGAATCTAGCCTCCCAAATCCCCCTCACATACACTTTGCCCTCTTCCGTATCATACACGAAGAAGGTCTCAGTCCTGCCATTCTCATAGTGCTTCTTGAATGCCTGCGCCTTCTCCAGAACCTTCTCCAATCCGGGCACGTGCCGCTTGACCACGTCTGGATCGTAAAAGCTCATGCACTCTGGCTTTGGCAGCCTCTTTGCCAACCCGCGCAGCTCCACCATGTCCCAGACATGCTTCACCCGAAAGGGCGCCATCTTGCTCACACTTTAGATCATGACACTGGTGGGTTGGAACGCCCAACAGAGGCATTTGATAGGTTTTCGTCGTTTAAATGCCTCGCGACGGCCGGTCGAAACCACGTGTGTACGAAGGTGTTTAGATTTGTTTCACGTGAATGTATTACATGTGGTGACTCGTTTTTTCCGCTTATCGACGGTTCATATGGACTGACCGGAAAGTAGTTAGATCGGACGGACCTTGTGACTCGATTGGATTTTTAGAGTTCCCGCAGAGTATAGAGGCAATTTGGACCTTTGGGACTTGACCAAAGTGCACCTGGCGGCAAATTAGAGAGCAATGGAGCATCCAGCAATTGTTTTCAATTGCGAGACTGTCAAATAATTCAATTGGTAGAGGCAACTTCATTGAGCCAGAGTTCAGTAGTTTTCAACAGGTCGTTTAGGTATTGCATCTGCGCAGCAGTCTCGCAATACCCCACTTTGCTCCCAAACTCTACACCCATCGCAAACGTTTCTTGGATCGAAAGATCAAATCGTATGGCATCTTGCTTCATCTGGTGAGAGAGTTTGGGAGGTGGTGCCTCGAATTGGCAAAAGCCGTTTCCCAGCTGCTGCTGTCGTACTGCATTCTTCCGCAGAGTTGCAAACTGAGACGAGATGTACAATGCACAGACGATGTTTGAAACGCGCCCCAGAATCTGTGCAAACAGAGACCCCGCTGAGTTGCGGCATGCATAGTACTTCCCACAGTTTCTAGTACGTTTGATCCAAGGGGTCATTGAAGTTTTGGGACACATCGCGATCAGTCGATTGGCGAGCTGAATTATTGGTGACATGTCGCCCCATGTGTGCAACGATTGAACGTGCCTACGGCATTCATCGGCATTGTTTCGCCATGTCCTATATACGTCGGCATCGTCCAGTCTCCATCCCAGCAACACATTGTCGATGAGTTTGATGCGTTCCATGGACATGTCAGGGAACAGTGGTGTGAGCAATTCTTGGAGTGGGCGCGGCGATACTGAAACGACCAATATCTGCGCCCACTCAGAGTCCGTACATGCTAGTTCCATATTGCACTGGGCTGATATTGTTTCATGCATTCAATACGCGCGGCACGGATGTTTGCGCACCCCCTGCAACCGGTGCCAAAGAGTGGGCGACGCCGCGCATGACTTCTGCGGACTGCTCGGTGGCAACAATTCCTGAATGTCACAAAATAATACAGAAACAAACCCTAACCCTAACCCTATCTGTAGGAGCATTGTACGCGCTATCTGATGCCATGGTGCAGAGCGGCGCCCTCTCCGAGAAGGATGACGTCGGAGGAGATGTCTCCAGCAGGCGGGGAGGAGTTGGCGACGGCGTCTCCAAGAGGGAAGACGTTGGATGCATTGCCTTCGAAAGGGGTGGCATGCTCCCAGAAAAGAGCTTCTGAATATCAAGAGCGGACTTGGAACCCCCGCTGGCTGTGGCACAGAGCTCCGCCACCAAAGCACATCTGTTGAAAGCACGTTCAACCCTCCGCCAGTGCTCCTCGCACTCGGGCCCTTCTCGTTCTAATATCCATGATAGGGCTGCCTCAGGATCGTCGAGCAAAGCGTCGAGAGAAGCATCAGCTGCTACCACGGTCTCTACCCACCGGACGCTATCCGTTTCTTCATTCCACTCAGGGATTTTCTCTTTGGCAGATTGTTCCCCTAACCTGGCATATACAGCTGCTCGCAGGGGCCTGATAATTTTGTGTAGATTTCCCATCTTCTTGTCCGATGAACTAGTACAGCCGCGGATGATCCAACCCCCACGCATGCTAGGGTTGTACTTATTCTCACCATCTCTGTCAGCGTCAACACTCGTCTCTGCTAACGATGTGTCCACAACCCTGGGTATTGCTTTTGAGCGGTGAGATGTAGCAGGACTCAGAAACAGCCTCCCCTGTTTAATTATCCATCCATCACACACCCTGACTGCTGGCTTGTACCTGAAGAAGTCTCTGTCTTTGCTCAAAACACACGTGCTTGCTCCACCAACCGCTGAGAGTGAGGCAATGACGTCATCCGCATCTGCGGAAAGGGGCCGGACAACCCTGACGCTGTTCCTACGGAGAGCCTCTGATAGGAAAGAGTCGATTGCAAGGACCATTTTCTTCTCTTCAGTTCGCATTTCCCTGTTGCGCCGATGATGCCATTTTCTCTCTGCCTCCTCGGTCTTGGTGTCCGAGTCCACAACGGCTACCACATGAAAGCCAGAAGCCCGGACCGCATTCACAAAGCGTTTCACTTTACTTTCAAGTCTTTCAAGCTCCTGCCATGGCGATTGCCGAGCGCCTTGCCAAGACCAGAATTCGTCCAACCAATTCAGAGCATCTAGCACGATACCGGTGCAAGGCCCAGCAAAAACCTGGTCTCTGACGATACTCATGATGTCGTCTAATTTGTGGTGGTGCCGCCGATAATTGCTTGCTTGCTGATCTGAGCATCATTTCGTTCAGTCTTTCGTTCAGAAAATTGGATTCAGAACGCTGCCCAATCCAGCCCCAATACAACCCAGCTGATTCGTCGCGCGCGCACACATTTGGGTCAGATTGTTGATAGTTGATGTGACGGTTGG